GCGTGGCCTTGATCCAGTAAACACATTTGAAAATTGTCGAAAGAACGTGGAAACGTTTGACACGTCCTCGCGCCGACAGAGCTGGTTCTGCTTCTGAAATATCTGCGAAGCGACAACACCAAATGAGATAAAACGGGCCGTAAAAGTTGCTGCCAGTTTGCCTCCGTCCATGTTTGGCCGGTTGAGAGATGCGCGAGTAGAGACTCCGAGGGGCTGGATCGTCTCGATTTTCACGAGCTGGCGGCGTCCGCGTACTCGTAGGAAGTACGCGGGTAAACAGGCAGGTAGGAAGACTGGCCGGTGATCCGGTAAATTTAAACCGATGTACGGATACCGTTACCGCTACTGCACCGGCGCGGCGCGGCGATATAGTCGTTGCTACTGAAACCGCACTCTGTGCTCCGCCGTGGGCCGCGTCCGCGTTCGACTCTGGGCTCGCAACGTTCTTTCTTTCTTCCTTCCTTTCTATCTCTCTTCTCTGTATTTTTTTCTTCCTTTCTTTTTCACAGCGGCTGGACACAGCGCTGGATATACCGGGCCCCGTTATCGCTGCTCGGCAGCTCGGTTCCTCCGCCACGCGTAACGTTACAATTTGTCTTGGTACTCCCACTCGGTCGTCTCGCCCCGCGCCGGATAATCGAGTATCGACGCCAGTTAATAAATCGTTCCAACGCGTTCTTTCGACGCGAGCTGCTCGCTCGCTGTGGGCAAGGAGAGACGGCCGAGGCGGAAAGATTGTCGCACGAGTGCTTTCTAAACCAAGACGAACGGTACCGGTGTGACTGTGTCGTTCAGCGACAATTCGTAATGTATGTATCGCCTGACGAATGGCCTCCAGATGCATGATTTATCGCGTCGCTCGGTCGACGCTTTAATTGCAATTGCGTATTGCGGTGTTCGATGCCGTGCGAATCGGCAGAAAACGCGTGAAAGCGTAAGGCAGGGTAAGAAAAAAAAAAGGGTGAAAACACATACACACACGCAGGGTCTGGTGTGCTGGTCTGGCGAAACGTCAGAGGAGGCAAAGGAAGCAAAGCAGGGATAGAGAAGAAAGTAGATAAGGGAAGGAGGGAGGCTAGGTGGATGATAGGTGCAAGGAGGATGGGATAAGAAAGAGGGCTGAATATCGGTGGAAGGGGAGCGCGGGCTAGGGATAGGGATAGGGATAGGAGAGGGATGGGCCAGGGATAGGAAAGAGCAGAGAGGGCAGAGAGGGAAGAGAGGTCGGCAGCGAGGCCGAGGCAGTGGCAGTGGCAGAGAGGCAGGGCAGAGGCACGGGCAGAGACTCGTAACGTGGGCTAAACTACACAGCCTCGGTGGGTATAAGTCGGGCTATTATCGGGCTATGCGCTGAGAGCCCTCCGCTTTCATCCGCTAATGGGCAGCTCTCCGCCCGTCTGCTCCTTTACTGCGTCATTAATACAAGTTGCACATGTCGAGAGTCGGTGCGCTACAATAATTTACATGAATGGAATTGAAAATTTTCTACTCCGCGGAGGAGAAAAAGACACGAAAGAGCACCGAGAACCGAGAGCCCAAGAGCGAGTGAGAAAGGGAGAATGAGCGAAAGGGAAAGATGAACGAATCGAGAAAGAAGGAGGAAGACAGTCGGAGAAAACGGACACAGAGGGGAGAAGGGGAGAGAGAGAGAGAGAGAGAGAGGAAGAAGGTGATCGAGGAGACCGCGCGTGGGGTTGTGTAGGTGGGGAACGGGAGGAAAGGAGAGGGCGAAAATCTTCTGGCATTTTATGTCAGTAATTACATGAAAGATGGTATAACCTATCCGACCGACCGACCGGCCGATCCCCTCCTCCCTCCCTACGTTCCGTTCGGAACCATCCAACCAACCAACCAACACGCGACCTCCTCTTTCAGTCGTCGGCCTGAACCCCCTTTTAGCCCCCGTTACTCATCTTTCCGACCCTCTCTCTCTCTCTCTCTCTCTCTCTCTTTCTCTCTCTTTTCTCCTTCTCTTTCGCCCCCGTCCCCAATCCTCACGGCCCCCGCGGCCGGATGGCGAGGGGCTTTTTTATGCTTTAATTTGTGCACGAAGTGTGTCCGGCTGAGTGGAGGATTTACCTACGCGGTGTACGTCTGAATACCGCTTCTGCCCCTCTCTTTCAAGACGCGCGCAGCAACTCGTTTCCTACCGTGCCGCGACCGTTCATCCTACGAGAGCCAAGTCCGATTTAACTGAAAACGCGGAACGATCGTACGCCTGCTGGCAACCTTAGTCGACTATCGTTGACCCCGGTGTAACTTTATTACACGCGGTGCCGTGACTTTACCCGCCGCGCAAGTAATGTCATCGTAAAGCAATCAACCAACCCCGCGTCATCCCTCGCCAACTTACTTCAGCCGCGTTAGGATTCCCAACTGCCTCCGAGTGCATTCGCCGGTGCATCGTCGCGGTTTGCATACATATACATATACATATACATATATCACGCGTACCGTGTGAATTAACGACGATCCGTCCAGTATTCCCGGAATAAATCCACGCAATGACTCCGTATCCCTCTGATTCTTCTCTCTCCGAGTGTCTTAACGACCGGTTGACGAACAGCTCTTTGAAGCTGCTCGAAGCTCTTCGTCTGTCTGCTTAAAACGAGGCAGCCAATCCTCGTCTGCGCGTCGTTGCCGCGTTACAATCTTCAATCAAGTCGCGATCTTTCAGGCGAAGTTTCGAAAACCACCGCACACGTTACACCGTCACGTTATCAACGCGATCCTTTCTGTCGCGATTCGAACGCGAGTGTCCTGTAATCTCACGGCTCCGAGCACCGTTCCTTCCGAGCATCCATCCGTTTGATTCCGCATTTCGGGCGCGAGAAATCGGCCCGGGAAACGAGCGCGCGTGTCTAGAAACGATATCTCGGCCGAGCGGCGCGTTAATCACAGCAAGCGATTATTGGCTACAATGTAGCAGAACGACCGCGAGATTACAGAGGCGAGTGTGTCGGGTGATCGTTGCACCGTCGGGCCCGATTTCGCGAAAATTACACATCGGCCGATTCGCCGACGCGCAATCTGAATAACAACGCGATTCGAGGACGCGATACGGAACGCGTGGCCGCGGGCTGACGCACGATTAACGAGCGGAATCCCAGGAAGGAACGAGACCACATACTTCGCGTACTCCCTGTATATGGAAGGTCGTTGCCAAGTACTTATTTCTCTGGCATCAGCGGCACGGTCCTCTCGGTAGCTATACCGGCCATACGTCAACGTCCATTACACTTCCACCCTGCTGCTGGCTTTAATGTTTTCGACTCGGCCACTCTTTATCCCACCTTGCAGCTAATTAGCGAGCCGGATACCGGACACGCGCTCTTCCACTGCCCCCATCCTCCCTTGTTCGTTCGTGTCTGCTGTACGTACGTAGCCGGCTCGTGTGTATACCTACAAAGTCGTCCCCGTACACTTCGTTCTCTTGC